CTGCCTCCAACCAATCGCAGCAGAGCACACCTGCTTCCAACCAATCGCAGCAGAGCACACCTGCCTCCAACCAATCGCAGCAGAGCACACCTGCTTCCAATTGCAGAGCACACCTGCCTCCAACCAATCGCAGCAGAGCACACCTGCTTCCAAGCACAGCAGAGCACACCTGCTTCCAACCAATTGCAGCAGAGCACACCTGCCTCCAACCTATCACAGTAGAGCACACCTCCCTCCAACCAATCGCAGCAGAGCACACCTACTTCCTACCTATCACAGTAGAGCATACCTGCCTCCAACCAATCATGAGGCTGGGGGGAAGGGAGAACAAGGCTCCCACCAATCACAGCAGAGCACACCTGCCTCCCCCCAATCACAGCGCACCTCCCAGCCACCAATCACAGCGAGGGGCACCACCACCTCCCACCAATCCCGGGGATGCTCCCACCTCCCCCAGCACTGCTCCCATCCCACCACTCCCAGCCCCGTAGGAGTCGCTCCCAACCAATCAGGGCTGCGCAGGTAGCCAGCTGCCAGCCAATCGGGAGGGGAGGGGGGCGGTACCTGCACGGCCGGCAGGGGGGGGCTGGAAGGCGTAGAGGGGAGCCCCCTCCCCGGCAGCACCCAGCTCCTCCGCGTCACCCAGGGAGCGCAGGAAGCCCCGCGGGGACACCTCGGCCAGGATCACCTGCAGGACAGCACCCGGCACCCTCAGCGTCCCTGGGGGGGGGGGTGTGGGGCTTGTTGTCCCCCACCCCGTGTCCCCCCGCCCCGGCCCGTTACCTGCTCCGGGGGGATGTGTCCCTCCCGCGCCACCATCTCCCGCAGCTCGGCCACGGTGCCCAGCAGGGGCACGGCCAGCCCCACCCGCACGAACCGCCGGCGCTCGCACTGCAGCACCAGGGTGACGTTGAGAGCCCTGGGGACACCGGGGGACACACACAGACACACACACCCCCCCCTCAGCGGGGAAAGCCACCGCGCGCCGCGCTGAGACCCGACGCCGCTCGTGACCGTGCTGGATGGACCCACGTCCCGGTGCAGCGGCTCCGACTCCAGGGTAGCAAACACCCGTCGGACACAGCTCCGGCGGCGGTGGCCATCACCCATCCCAATGCTGCCACCACCTCCCTCATTAATTATCTACCCCGAAAGATGCAAATCACTCTGGTTGGAGCCGACACCTCGCCGGGCGGTGGATGTGCTTCTTGCCGCGCCAACGAGCGGCTGGGGAGGTGCGGGGCCGGGCTCACCTGGTCTGGCGCAGCGGGATGGGCAGGGAGATGCACAGGAAGGGGTCGAAGGTGTTGCTCTGCTTCAGGCAGTGAGGGCACGTCAGGGAGGACCTGTGAAACACGGCCGGGATGTGTCACCGGTGTAGGGACAGCACCCTCAGAGTCCCCACCCTGGGGCTGCAGCGCCCTGACACTGGTACCGCATCCCACAGGGCTGAGATGGCCCCAGCACCACGCAGGGTTTGCACAACCTCCTGCCAGGGTGAGGCACCAGAGCTGGTACCCGCCTGCCCAGCCCAATGGTCTGTTCACTCTGAAACCTAACAAGGGCGCCCACAGTAACTGGTGCTAGAAAAGCCAGAGTAAAATCCCAGGGCTGGGGGGTTTCCCACTCCCATGCATCGCTGTGGCCCCGAAACCCCCCCAAATCCTGCTCCCCCTCCCAAAGGCTCACAGAGCCCAGGGTGGCTTCTGGCTCCTGGAGGCTTTGGGGTGACCCCAGCCCACCCCGGTGGGGCTTAAGCAGGGACAATGCCTTGGGGTGCTGAGAGGGGACAGGACCCCTCCCGAAAAGCAGGGCTGTGGCTGGGCTGCAGGGAGGAGGCAGTGACAGGCAGCAAAAGGGCAGCTGCCTGCAGCCCCATGACAAGCCCCAGTGTGTTCCCTGGGGAGGTACCACTGCCCCTTGCCCGCCCTGGCACTCACGGCCAGAGGCAGAGGCGGTGGTGACACCGGCTGGGGACCGTCCCACCGGCAAGCTGCACCCAGGGGATACCACGGTCCTGCTGCACTCCCCATCCACCTGCTGGGAACCAGCTGCCTGCCACCACCGCAGGGCCAGATCCTGCACCCGACGGGGTGGTAGCCCCATCACTACCGCAGGGACGGATCCTGCACCCACCATGCCCGCAATCCCAGCACTCCCATTCCCAGCCTGCCAGCGGGGAGCCAGAGCAGTATCCAGCCCTGCTGCCGGGACGCAGGCTGTGCCGCCCAGACACCGCCGGCTACCCTGGTGCTGCTGGCTCAGCCTGCCCGGTCCCTGCCGTGGCACAGCCGCCGGCTCCAGGGGAGCCCTGGGGACAGTGAGGGGGGACCCGTCTGCTCTGCTGGGGGGCATGGGGCCACCGGGGAGGACCAGGTCCCCTGCCAGCAGGGAGGCCTCCCCATCTCCCACAGCGTCTCCCAGGAGATGCGCCACCAAAGCCTGGCTTAAATGAACCTTCAATGCCAACAACCACCTTACCTCCTGTTTCTTTTTAATTCTGCCTTTTTTATTTCTTTTTTTTCCTCCTTTTTATTCAACAAAAAGGGGAAAAACAAATTAAAAACCAAATCAAAATCCTGACTCCTTGTTATTTGTCGCCTCAAAGAGCCATTGAGCTCCCTGGGAAGCAGCCGCACAAATTAATAAATCCTTTTGCACACAGACGGGCTCTGGCACGTGGAGGGGGTGGATAATTAAAGCGCCTTTTTTCCATAGAGGGCGAGGGATTAATTGAGACAGGAGGAAGGACTTGTGATGCCAGATGTGTCCCCTCACGCCTGCAATGCTGTGGCATGGGGATGGGGTGGCCAGATGCTGGCCCACCTGAGCATCCCGTGAGTCTCAGCCAGATGAACATGTGGGGTGTCCCATCGCCTGCGTGTGGGAGCATCCCCATGCTGTCCTCTGGGACAGGCTTAGGACAACCTGGATCCTGACTCCTGTGATAGAACCACTGAATGATCTGGGTTGTGAGGCACCTTCAGAGACCATCCCATCCAACCCCCCTGCCATGGGCAGGGACACCTTCCACTACACCAGGTTGCTCAAAGCCCCGTCCAACCTGGCGTTGAACAATTCCAGGGATGGGGCAGCCACAACTTCTCCAGGCAACTTGTTCTAGTGCCTCACAACCCCCATCGTAAAATATTCCTTCTTTATGTCCAACCTAACCCTATCCTCTTGCAGTTTAAAACAGTTGCCCCTTGTCCTGTCACTACAGACCCTGGCAAAAAGTCTCTCTCCATCTTTCTTGGAAGCCCCCTTTCTGTATCAAAAGGCTGCTCTAAGGTCTCCCCAGAGCCTTCTCTTCTCCAGCCTGTCTTCACAGGAGAGGTGCTCCAGTCCTCTGATAATTTCTCCTCTGGACCTGCATCCAACAGGTCCATGTCTTTCCTGTGCTGAGGACCCCAGAGCTGGATGCAGTACTGCAGGTGGGGTCTCACCAGAGCAGAGCAGAGGGGAGAACCGCCTCCCTCGACCTGCTGGCCTCGCTTCTTGTCATGCAGCCCAGGATATGGTTGGCTTTCTGGGCTGCGAGCGCACGTTGCCTGCTCACATCCCATTTTTCATCCACCAGTATCCCCAAGTCCTTCTCCATTCACCACCCAGTCTGTACCTGGCCTGCTTGAACTTGCACTTGGCCACGTTGAACTTCATGAGGTTCAAATAGGCCAACTCCTCCAGCCCATCAAGGCCCCCCTGGATGGCGTCCCCTCCCTCCAGTGATGAATGACACCGCTCAACTTGCTGCCACCTACCAACTCGCTGAGGCTGCACTCAATCCCACCATGCCATTGATAAAGATTTTAAATTGTACTGGTCCCAGTAGGGACCCTTGAGGGACACCAAGCCTTACTGGGTTGCTCTACCACCCACCACCACCAACCCAGCAGCACTGATGGAGAACAACCAGGGCATCCCCTGCCCAACCCCTGCCTGCAGCCCTGCCCGTCTCCCCAGGCTGAGCCTTCCCAGCCCTGCCGGCTCAGCAGCCGCCTTGCTTTTGCCAGCCAACTGCTGGTGCAGTGCAAAACCAGCTGTCCCAGCAAAAGCCATTGTAGCTCTCCCCACCCTGGGATGGTGATAACGAACAGAAGAGCTCAAGGCTTCATTAAGGCCAAGGAGAGGTGGGCAGTGGGGTCTCTGAAGGCTGGGGGTATGAAATGCCCAGGGGCAGGGCTGGGGTCGGCCCGTGTCCATCTCCATGCCAGGAGATGACACTGGATGTGGCTGATGTCACCCTCTGTGCCCTCACTCCCAAGGACCAGGCACCCATCCGCACCAAAACCCACCCCCAGGGATGCAGTTCAGACCCTGCTCTGGATCAGTCCTTAACAAAACAATTCATGTGCTCTGGCCAAGAGCTGCCTGGCCCGTCACCCCCATCCTGCTGCACCCACACAGCCTGGACAATGCCACCAGCATTGCACCGTGCAAATAAAACACACCTTCGTCTTAATTCTGCTGCTCCCCGAGCTTCCGAGCTAATTACCGGGAGCCCCAGGGCTGCGACAGGGGTGGGGAATGGGCAGGACACCCCACTCGCTGCGACAGGGATTTGGGCTCTGACCCTCCCCGTGTCCTCTTCGGCACTTGCAAAAATATTTGCTGGCATTAAAGCAGAGCAAGAAACGTCTGGATGGATAGAGCGTCTCTGCAGGGCTGAGCACTCCCCGGCTCATCCCTTCCCTGGGCTCACAGAGTCCAGCTGCCCGCTAGGAAAGCCCCTCCAGCGCTGCCCAGGGCTCGCAGGAGGGCGAAGCCCCCAGCCGGGCAGGATCCGGCCCTCCCCGCTCACCTGTACTGCGCCTGAAAATGGCTCTGCACGAAGCTCTGCCCGCGGGGATGCTGGGCGGCCGGTGGGGAGCTGCTGGCACCGTTGCTCCCGTCCTCGCTGGGCTGTGGGGGCAAGAGACGAGCACGGTGAGAAAGGTGCCAGGGTGACCCCATGCCCTTGAGGGGTTGGGGACACATCCCAGCGAGCCAAGCCCAGCTTCGGTGTCTTCTTCTGGGGAAATTTTGGGGTATGCCCCATCCGATCAGCCGCAGCCCCAGCGTCCGGAGCTTCTGGGCACTGAGGAATTGGAGCTGGAAACATATTTGATACCAGCTGAAATGCTCCAGGAGGGAAATCCTGGGCGAGTCGGCTGGGCTGGCTTATCCGCACTGCAGCATGGGCACCTCTGGCAGGGGAAAGCTTGGAGGGGGGGGAAGCTGATCCCCCAGCAACGTCCCCCCCCCGCCAAGGAGCCCCAGCGCCCGTGGGCATACGCCTCCAGGGTTTGCAGCCCTGGCAGGGAGGTGCCCACGGCACCCACCGTGCCGGCAAATGCACCCATGGGTGCTGGGACCGGCTGTGCTGCAAGGAGCTGGGGTGTGGGTGGGCGAGACGGTGGAATGCTGCAGTGGGCAGGTGTCCATGTGTCTGTGTGCGTGTCCGTGTGTCTGCGAGGAGAGCTCCTGGAGCTGGTGTGCACGTTCCTGCTCGCACCCGCCTGAGGCAAACACGGCTGCGTGCAAATTAACCGCATGCAAATCGCCAGAACCGGGGAGCTAAAAAAAGCCCCGGCTGGCGTGATGCCCTCCCAGGCAGGTGTGCCAGCGTGGGGCTGCAGAGCTGCCCAGAAAAGCAGCCCCACTGCTGCATGTTTCCCCAGCGCCTTTACCAGCAGCAAGCCCAGGCATGGCACCCGGCATGCCAAGCCCAGGCACAGGACCTGGCACAGCGCCCAGCATGCCGAACCCAGCCATGGCACCTGGCATGGCACCCAGCACCCCGACTCACTGCCCCAGAGCTGGGCTTTCACGGGCCACGTGTCCGGGGCAGGCGGTGGGAGCAGTGCCATTCGACCAGCATTCCCCGAGCTGGCAGGGGAGGCAGCCGTGGGGAGCACTTACTCCGCTGCCGACCCATCCCTCGGCCACCTCCCCACATCACCACATCCCCATCTCGGCCCCGGACAGCGGGGCGACTGCCTGTCCCCCCACCCTGCAGACACCTGACCTCTCTCCAGGTGTGATCCAGCAGCTCCCGGCACCCTGAGCCACTGCAGCGAGCTGTGCTCCCCACCTGGGTGCCCGCACCCGTTCTCCCTGGCAAGCCCGTGTCACATCCCTGAGCAACAGCAGGAGCAGCACTGGGCCCCCTTCCTCGAGAGAAACCGGCTCCTCTGTCGGCCGGACGCTGCCTCGGGATGGGCGAGGAGCCCTGCACAAGGGAGCCCTCTCTCCATCCCCCCTGCTTGGTGCATGGGGAAACTGAGGCACGGCCTCTACTCTCCCTGCTCTCAGCAGGGACGGACACTGCGGATGGTACTGGTTGGCTGCCTGTGTCCCTGCTGCTCACTCCCAGGGCTGGCACAGAATCCTTTCCTCCATCCCAAGGAAAGGCAGGACGCCTGGCCGGGGAGGCAGCCTTCTTTGCCGAATTCGAGGGATGCCAGCACCGGCTGCAGGAGGAGACATGCCCCGCACCCAGGACACCCCGAGAGGAGCCAGGTCCTCTGCTCCACTCTGTAGGGAACAGGGACACTGGGACGTGACCATGTTACACAGTCAAACCTGCCTGGTTAGGAGAAACCTCCTTGCCTGCATCCTGCCTGCTGTCTCCCTCCCTGCCCGCTGCCCTGGGAGCCACAGGGAGTGCCCATCCCTGCACAGGGGCCAGGAGCCACCAGCTTCACCCCCTTCTATGGGCACAAGGAGCCCGATGGCAGAAGAGACATCACAGAAAGGAGCCTCAGTAGCTTGGGGAAGGACTGGGCTGTTTGGGCTAAGAAGAGGAGTTTTTGGTGTCACGATGAGCAAGACTGAAAATCAATGAGGTATTTGGCCAAGAGGCGGATTTTCCTCGTGCCATCTGCTGGCACTGGGTCCTGCTGAGCCTGACGTGTCCTTACGGTCTGCCCAGGGCTGGGGTCCATCTGGTGTGGCACAGAAGGGACCTGGACTCTGTCTGTGCCCCGCACAGCCCCCAGAATCCCCCTGAAACCCAAGGGGACACCTCCTCCCCCTCCTCCTCCTCCAGCCCTCCCAGCAGCCAAGCCTTGGTCCCCACCTGGGTGGCCCCAGAGTCCGCTGGGTGCCACAGCAGACACCTTGTGGGAACCCATCAAACAGCCAGGACAGTATTTCCACCCCTCCGGTCTGCCCGGCTCCGTGCCCTGGACCACCGAACTCCTTGTCTTCTGCTTTCCACCAGCTGAGCTCCCCCGGTCCTTGAGCCTCGGCACGGGCTTGACCACGAGCAAACTGTCCCCACCACCCCCCACCTTCAGCACCTGCACAAACCCTCCTCCCCCAGCCTACGCTACCCAAAACTAGGATGGGCGCTTGTGTGCCCAGCTCCATCCAGACACTTCAAAGCTGTTTATTCTGGCTCATGACCCGCCACGGGGCACGCCCTCCTGAGGCACATGGGCACACGGGTGCTGCTCAGGTGGCACCCCCCAAAAGGGGCTGAGACCGTGGTGAGGGGCTGGGGGAGGCTGAACAAAACCGAGGATGCTGCGGGGGACACAAAAGGTCCCATCCCTGGAGCCAGGCAGGCGCCCCAGGCATTGCCACGGCACTGGCTCCAGCGTGGGCAGCCGAGGGCACTACCGGCATCACGGCACAGCCCACGGTACTCGTTGGCACCCGGCATTGACCAAGCGAGCAATGGGAGCTGCCCACTGCCAGGCTCTCCCAAACAGCCTGTGGGATCTAAATGCCTCGGGGCAAAGGCAGGTGGGGCTGAGGCCGGCTCAGCTCAGTACACAGATGGCTGCAGCTCACCAGCGAAGTAGGGCTGGAAGCCAAAGGGCTGTCCCGGCCAGGGGCTTTGGAGACGGGCAATGCAGCCGAGCTCTCCCATGCAGGACGGAGCTGTGCCCACGCAAGGCTGGAGGCCGGGCAGGGGCTGCCTGCGGGGTCCCCAACCTGCACCCCTCGGTCACAGCCACGATTCCCCATGTTGGTGACAGGGAGGATGACACTGCTCCCAGGACCCCTGTGCCCAAGATGGGCATCACCCCCAAAGCGGGGGCAGCACGCTGCTGAGCCAAGCAGACGCGGCAAACGCACAAATCCATCCACTGCAACAGGCAGCGCCCGGCAGGCGGGCAGGCAGGCAGCCAGCAGGCAGGGCCAGGGGGATGCCATGAGCGCAGATGGATGGAAGGAGACTTAATTACTCCTTTTGCCAGCAGCAAAGCCTCTGAGCGCTGTAATTACGGCGGGCTTAGCTGGAGGTGGGGAGGGACGGGGAGGGGCTGGATCTCCTCCTGACCGAGCAACCCCAAGAACCAGGGTGCCCACCAGAACCGGGGTGCTCAGCTGGACAGGCTCCTGCCAACACCCTCACACACTCCCAGCACCCCAACCACCCTGCCCAGCCCTGCAGCACCCGGACCCCGCCAGCCTTCCCCCTCATGCACCTTCCAAACCACATCACCCGCATCCCCATCCCATACTGACGTGGGGGAGACAACTCCAGTCTGCCGTCTCAGCTTCCCCGGTCCCACACGCAGCGTGGACATCCCCACCCGAGCCAGGGTGTGCGGCCACCCCGGCGGGGGCCACCCACCTCCTCGGGGACACGGGTCTGCTGGGCAGGGGAGGCAGCGCCCAGGTCCTCGTGCATGCGGTCCAGCAGCCAGAGCAGGAACTCGAGGGCGTCATGCTGCGCGTTGCCCCGAAACTGTGAGCTGTGCTTGGAGACGATGTTCTGCAAGAGATGGGCAGGGAGGGCGCTGAGCCTCGGGCCACGCTGCCTGGCACTAACGAACGGCCGGTTCGTTAGCACTCATAGCAAAAACCCATCCCTGCTTCCAGCCTGCACCAGTGTCTGCCCTTGTCCTGCCTCTGCAGGGACATCGCGGCCACCCTGGGGACAGCACAGCACTGGGGACACCAGCACAAGTGGCCGAGACAGCAGTTCTGTGGCCCATCACTGTGGTGTCCCAGCTTTCAGCTGCCAGGATGAGGCCAGGAGGGGACAGCTTGCTGCGGGCAAGGGGACAGGGCACACCCCAACAAACCCGTACGGGCAAGCCCAACCCGTGGAGACCCACCAGAATCATCTGCCTCATGCACTCCAATGGCATCAACTCGGTGTAACAGCCAGGGGAAGGCAATTCCCAGCATTGGGATGCCCCAGCAGGCAGCAGTTCTTCCCCAGGCCCTGCTTGCACGTGCCACCCCATCACCAGCAGCCAGCCCAGTGCCTCCCCGTGCCTCAGTTTCCGCAGCCACGTGAAGCTGGCGATGCCAGCCCAGCCACCCAAGTTCCCAGAAGGGATGAGGCTGTTCGTAGTCAAGCAAATGTGTGGCCCGTGGGCAGGGGAGCTGCCAGCCCTGCCTGCACAGGCAGGAGGAAAGCCCCTGAGCAAACTTCCTGCAGCCCAGAACCAGGGATGCTCAGCCCATCGCAGCCTGGCTCTCAGCACCCTCCAGCTGAAGCGGAGCAGGTGAGACCAGGGAGGGGGCCCAGAGATGTCCCTGATGGAGCCACATGCCAGGGGGGTCCTGACAGCCCCCCGCGAGGGCAGTGCTGGGGAGGGGGTACTGCCTGCCCTGCGAGGCTCTGCCCCTCCATCCAAAGCCCTAACAGCTCCCCCTGCCCGGGGCTGCCCTCCACTCACCCACTCTCCTCCTTCCCCCCAGCCCTGCAGTGAGTCCCCAGAAGGTGCTCACAGGGCTCCCTGGGGTATCCTCCCCATCTCCCCCTCACCTCGCCTCCCCCCCAGGACATGCAGCTCCATGCACGGCGCAGGAATTGGGCCCTGAGCAGCCAGGGGGGCAATGAAACCACCATGACGCTCCCTCTGGGCACCCTGCCCCAAAAGCCCAGGTCCCCGTGCTACCAATGGCAGCACCCCCTGCCCCATCAAACAGAGCAGCCCCCTGCTCCACAACTTCACCCGTGCCTGGATCAGGCCCTAATGCTATGTGCTTTCTGCCTGCCCCCCACCAAGCCATCAGCCATGCTGCAGCATTTTGGCTAATTAGCATTAATTTTGCTGTTAGGCAAGCGGCATGATGCCCTTACAGGCGGTTCCCCCTCACCGGGGGCCACGGTGGGAAGAACGGGGCTGGGAATGCCGTGGGGCCGAGGCGGTGCCCGGGGAGGATAAGCCCATCGGGGTGCCATCAGGCCACCAAGCCAGCGCCGAAGCCAGCTCCCTTGCCGAGCCAGTCGAGGTCCCAGCGGTGCTACGTGCCTGGGTTTCGGGTGGCCCCGGGGGGTCAGCCCGGGGCATGTGCTGTCAGCCCATGAGAGCTGTGTAAGCAGCTCCCGGGGGAGTGGTGTGAGCCAGGATGGGTCCCTGACCCCAAAAAAGCAGGATGCATGGGGCTGGGAATCCTGCTCCCTTGAGGGAGCCCAAGGAGGGGGCCCAGGGAACACCCCAAAAGGCAGAGCTGGGGATCCCCAAGGACTCATCTCTAAGCCTGGGCCAGTGGTGGCTGCTCAGAGCCAGGAAAGGACAATTTTAGGAGTCCAGCCCCAAAACCAGCACCGGGAGGGAGAAACCCCAACCATCCGTGTTGGTTTTAACCAGCTGATGCAGTTAAACCCCAACCATCCGTGCTGATTTTAACCAACATGCCGGGACCTGCCGGGACAGGGATCAGACCTCCAGCATCACCGGGAAACACCCCGAGCCAAGACCCCCTCCGGCCCCCCGCCACACCGGCCCCGTGCTCAGCAGTACAGGCATCCCGGTACAAGCAGAGGGAGCAAGGCCACCGCGGATGGGTTTCAAGCAAAATGAATCGCAGACTGGGCTCTTATATTAAAAATCTTATTTAGGCATATTAAAAAAAAAATATAAGGTAGAAATTCATGGCAGATGCAGATAACCACCCCGAGGGAGGAAATTCAAAGCAAAAGCTGGAAGTTTTGGGGTTTTTTTTGCTCTATGCCTAAGGAATGTGTGTGTTTGGGAGCTGAGGGCTTGGAATATTGTGCCCAGCACTGCAAGAGCTGGTTACTTTGCTACAAGGAAATGAAAAGCAATGAGCTCCCGCAGGAGCACCCACTGCACCCCAGCCGTCTGGGCGGGGTGGGTGCTGCCACCCTCCAGGCAGGGAAAGGAGGCAGGCAGGTCCCTCTGTGAAAGGGGGGGCTGAGCAGTGGGTACCCCAGCCCCTGCCCGCGCAGGACCAGCCTGGCTGCTGCCACGGGAGCCGGCAGGGCTGCCAGAAACCCCGACCCGGGAAGGGGCCTGGCTTCCCAGCAGCTCCTCCGTGCACTTTGCAAAGTTTAATTGCAGCAGCAGTTTAATTGCAGCAGCAGGTTCCTGCTGAAATGTCACCGGCGGACACGTGTCCCTGAGCGTGGGGAGCTGCGATGCCAGGCTCGAAGCGCTGCCCTGTGCCCGACACCCTGTCCCTGTCCCCACGCCGGGCGCAGGCCGGCAGCACGCTGCCATGTGCCCGGCAGGGCTGTGACACGCACTCAGTGATGGGGGCTGAGGCCACTCACTTGGGCTCC